GGCCTTTTCTGCTTTCCTTTGTTGGTAGCCCGTTTCCTGCCTTTTGCTGCCTACCAACATCACACACTCCCAACAAACGCAGCCACCAACACCGCGCTAGGCCCCCCCCCCGTCCTTTCCCACGACCACCCGGCTGGGGGCGAATCAAGCGCGTTCGTATCCCCCTTCTCGAGAGAGACGAGAGAGAGAGAGAGAGGCGGGCGTTGGCAGGAGATTTGGACGGGAAGCCCGCCTTGCCCTCCCCCCAGGCTGGGACGCACACGCCCATGGTCCGCGTGTGGGGCGCTTGCCTGAAGGTCTTCGCGGGTCTTGTCCAAGGCAGCAGGCAGCAACGGGCTTGGGGGAACCCTGTGTATAACGCCATAAATTCACGGTGTGCTGTATCACGGACAAGACTATTGATTGAGTGAGTCTTCTTTTTTTTTGGTTGCCCCCTCTTTGCATCCTGGTTCGTGATTTGCTCGTTCTGGCACATTTTAGTCGCGGCTGCTTGGCTTGTCGTTCTTTGTCGCCAATTGGGGTTTCCGGGTTGGATCAACTACCAACAGCCATCATCTCCACCCCCAAGGCGATGACAGGCAGGGGAAGGGGAAAAAAAAACGGCCAACTGCGCGCAAACAACGGTCCCTCTCTCCTCCCCCCCCGCCGAATCGCTAGTCCCATCATCTGCACAAGCGCCTCCGCGGCGAGCCGGTGATGTTGGTAGTGAAGAAGGCAACAGAACAACCCGTCTGTTTGCGCGTCAGCGGGCGTACCATTGCGGGGCCGCCTCTTAAGCGAGTAGTGGGGGGGATATTTTCTCTCACGAGTTTTCTTCACCCCCAAAACAACAAAACCCCGTCTTTGGAGTTGTTGGATAGGGAGACCAGACAAGCCGCATTATCCGCCGGCGGAAGCGGGCAGCGAATAGGAGATTGCTCCGGCTTTTCTTCAGCCTACCTAGTGTTCGCGGTAAGGCTGGTTATGCAAGCAAGAACGCCTTTCCTCTTCCCTCGGCCTTTTCTTCCCCCTTTTTTCCCAACTTCAACGGTTCGTTGAAGTAAAAATAGCCCTTACCTCATGATGACCCAGATGAGCAAGAAAAGAACAAAAGAACCTTACTTTCTCGTCTGATGCAGGAACTTTGTTTGTTCGGGCTCGCGCGTCCGCCCCCCATGATGTGCCTCGTCTCGCAGCTTTCACCCCAGCGAGGCTGTTGACGCCGGCGAACAGGTCGGCGGGCCCCAGCAGCTCAAGTTGTCGCGGGTGCCGGCCTGCGCGGTTTGAGGAGATGAACAAAAAAAAAAAGGGCGAAAGCGGAAGCCTGCAGAAGAGCAATCGAGTTGGAACAAGCAGGGGAAGCAACACGGGCTGTGCGGAAAGGCGTGCATTCGATCGAAGAGCTGGACAGTGCAGCTGAGACTTGCAGGTTCCATGGCAAGGTAGTTATACGATTCAGAAACGAGACTGTTTGCTACAACTCTGGATAGAAGATTCATTTTACCCCCGCCGAAATACCTGTCGCAGATACATTCTAAATACACCTTCTTGTAGCCCCCACGGATAGTTTCCAATGTCTTGGTCTGTTTGTGCGACATGTCGACATGTTGACCTGGAGAAGCAAACATCCATAAGCCTAGTCCTCTCAAGCGCCCCCATCTAGACTCCATCCTCCATCGCGACATCTTTCCGGCACCCCATCCCGACAAACTCTATGCCAGCACCCTTTGATACCCAGCTCTAAACTCTATGCCGCACCCTTTGATACCCAGCTCTATACTCTATGCCCGCATCCCATGTCAGCCGCCTCTGTACTCTCTTCCCTCCCACGTCCCTACTCAGTCCACCTCTGCACGCCCGGCGGCCACCACATCATCGCAGGATACTTGATGCGCGCGCCGACATCCACCTCCTCCCACCCCATGCTTTTGTACGTCTT